CTTTTTTTCCTTCAGTGTTGGTCGTCATCTAAAGAGAACTGCAAACCCTTTAGCTGTCGGAGCACCGAAGGAGAAAACTGCATCTTCTTATGCGACAATCTGGATTATTATTAGTTTTTTATTTGTACGTTTTGCTCCTTTACCCTGCCCTGCCCTGTCCTCGCTTGTTCTGTCCCGTCCAGTCCTGCCCTGCCCTGCCCTGTCCTCGCTTGTTCTGTCCCGTCCAGTCCTGCCCTGCCCTGCCCTGTCCTCGCTTGTTCTGTCCCGTCCAGTCCTGCCCTGCCCTGCCCTGTCCTCGCTTGTTCTGTCCCGTCCAGTCCTGCCCTGCCCTGCCCTGTCCTCGCTTGTTCTGTCCCGTCCAGTCCTGTCCAATCCTGTACTGCTCTGCCCAGTGGCGTTCCTCTCCGTCGTAAGCTGAACCCACTGTCCAATAACAACCAATGAGTGTGCTGAATGTCCCGCGGGACGTCGATTTCGCTTTTTTCGTCCATTGCTGAATCCGCTCGTTTTAATGTCCGGGAAGGATGTGAGCAGCTTGAGTGCAAATGGCAGGTTGAGGGAAATACAAGCGAGTATTGCGGAAGGAAGGATGATGCTTCAGGTTTTACGTTCACTCCCGGCGTCGGAGGTTAATTCCTTTTTTTGTGCTGACCGATTTCACGCATTCAGAATAATAATGCATTCATTTCGCGGTTCGAGGAACTCGTTTCCCGACTTGAAAAGTATAAGGTGGCCAATAGCGAGATGCATGTAAGTTTGTATGTACTTGCATGCGCAAAGCAACCTTCAGAGTCCCGATATTCAGTCTCAGCTTGATACTTTGAGGGAGAAACAGGAGAATATCAGAAGACTTCTCTCGCAGACTGCGGAGGATTTTCAGGTGGGTTGATTGCATGCTGCAATTGTCAGTTGACTTGGAGCTCACTCGCCCGTCCATTTCTCCAAGATCTTGATAGTCAATACTGCTATAAATGTCACGAAGTGTATCCTACTCGTAGCAGGTAATCTTTGAGACTCGAAGTTAACTGTGTAACATAAGGCCCCAAGTACGTGAGGTCTTTAAAGGAGAACAGAATGTCGTTGTCTGTTGGATCCTAAAGGACCCTTTATAGCACAGATACACATCTAAACTCCCTTTAAATAAAATGCAAACAAGGTACTAATGAAATTTCCAAGAGACCTATTGCTTCCTCGGTTTGCACTGCATACAAATTTGACTTTTAGCCAACCGAGTGTTCAGGCAAACATGCACTTCGGAATAAACGCGGAATTTCCTGTTCACCCTCGGGGCGTGTAACCTCAAAGTCATATTAACCCTGACCACAGGCTTTAGAGCCCGTTCCTCGCTCTTGTAATTGACGTTCAAGTGACGCTTGCAGAAAGCAGTTTGGGAAACCATTGTCAGGTTTATAACATCCCAGATCGGTAGGGAGTTGATGGCAGTGGTTAGCAGCAATTCAGAGTATCCAGGGTGGCTGCTATCTTAGCGCTGTAGCGTCCGTGTCGTATCACGGCTTTTCGTCCAATAATCTCTTAAAACATGGCTCTCCAAGGGCAATATCTACTGGAGAACAAAGTTTGCGCTGGCTGATTACTACATTTATCGAAATCAAGTTGTTTGGATGCGGTGAGGCTTAAGCCGCCTCCATTTGGGTCCATCAGTTGCTCCATTGCAATTTTGGAATAAATGGCCACCATCTTTTCCTGTAAGACACCATGTAGCACAAGCCGATTTTAAACTACACCTAGTCTCGAGGTTGCCGGTCCACCAAAAATTGTCTAGCCTCGGATCATTCCGTGGTTACGCGCAAAGTTTTTGATGAATTCTTGTAGCAAGCGACTACGATGGGCGAAGCTAATCAGTGCGATGTAGCCGCATCAGCCCAATGCTCGCAATTGAATTAGACGATGGGACGCCCGGTAATTTAAACCGGAGCTTGTGTCGGTGAATGTTCGGACGCCGGAGGTCTTCATTTACAGGCTTACATTGTAGATTCAAGAAGACTTATCAAAAGGCAATATAACCGATCAGCTGTAGCACCCTTTCGGCGCCTACTAGATTCAAGAAGACTTGTTAAAAGGCAATATAACCGATCAGCTGTAACACCTTTTCGGCGCCTACCTGCTGTATCGGTGGAAGAAGTGAACAGAACACGATGCGACAAGTAAGCGTGAAGTGTGGTGGACACAAAGCCAAGAAAACGAGAGTTTCAGATACCCTAGAGTGCCCGAAGATTATTTTTATTGATCCATATGATCGGTTCCCGGAACCCACCGGTGAGCGAAACCGTCAAGAATCGAAAATGAGTGACCATCTTGGACAAAGAAGAGCGCCTCAGCCGCTGGGCCAGATACTTCGAAAAACAATCGTCGTGGCCACCAACCGCCACTCATCTGGAGCCCGCAGCTGACGCAGAACCCTTGACGGTGAACGTTGAACCACCGACGGCCCCGGAGGTTTACGATTGTCCTCTCAGGCGTCCCCGAGCTTCTGGTCCAGATGTCCTCCCGCACGCATTATTCAAAGATGGGGGTGAAGTCCTCAGTCGGTGCTTGTACGACCTGTTTGTTTGCATTAGGGAAAAGGAGTCTGTCCCAGACAACTGGAGAAAGTTGATTGATAAGTCCTCAGTCGGTGCTTGTACGACCTGTTTGTTTGCATTAGGGAAAAGGAGTCTGTCCCAGACAACCGAAGAAAGTTGGTGATAGTACCCATTTTCGAAAGGTCTCGTAGTGAGTTTGGTAATCACAAGGGGATCAACTTGACCCCGGTCGTCACCAGACTGTTGGCGTCACTGTTGCTTCGTCGCCTTACGGTGTCTCGTCAAACAGCGACTCGAGAGCAGCAAGCGGGATTCCGGTCTGGTAGGGATTGCGTCGACCAAATCTTCACATTCTGTCAGGTGCTAGAACGTCATACGTATAACCGACCCAGAATTCTAATATTCTTGGATTTCCAAGGCGCATTTGACTCAGCTAATCGGTCTGTTCATCTTGACAGACTTGTCCACCAAAGGATGCCCCCGGAATTTTGTGACAGTACGTTCTTTGTATTCTCAGACTTCCGGACTTGAGAGTATACGATGAGCTCTCTTAAAGCTTCCGTACACAAAGCGATCACCGTCTCCATTGATGATCGATGAAATAATGAGACGAACGCGGGAAGGTCCCCAAAACTCTCGTGTTCAAATAGCTTGTGACAAAAACCTTGACGATCTGGAATACGCAGATGCACGAACCTGCAAAACTCGGGTTGCGTTTGCTAATTTGAGATATTTATGGCGTCAAAGTGGTGTCCCTGAATCTCAAGGGACGTGTCTACAGTGCGGACTGTTTCATTGTATGACTGTTCAAACGGCGGAACTGAGACATCTTTGGGTATTCGACAATTGTTGTCTCAGAACCACAGCCCGTGTGGGTTGGTGTTGGACATTCCTTAACGAGTCAGTTAGAAAGCTAGTTTTCGGTTGTGCAGCGGTACTTCCATCACCAAAAACTGCGTTGGTTTGGACATGTGCTGCGAATGCCAAATCATCGTTTGTCGAAGAAAGTGTCGTGTTTTATGCTAAACTTAGAGTGGTGGAAGCAGAGAGGTGGCCAACCATAGACCTAACAGAGGACTATGAAGGAGATTACGAAACGTTTGGATGCTGTCGGCGCTGCACGCCTTCCAGGATGTGGACCGCGTGATCTGCACTGCATCTTGTTGGAGACGCTGCAAGATATGGCTACCAACCGGGGTTTGTGACTGAACTCGGATGTACAGGAGCTGCAGTTCGGTGTGATGCAGGGCGAGCAAAACGGTCAGTCCTAGAGCTGGGACCTGCGGAGAAAGTATTCAAATTTGGGCGGTTGAGGGTGGAAGACAGAAAACGTGAAAGTGTAAGAAGGAAGGCGTCAGCAGTGGCATGTTTTCGCTTACCCGCCCTTCTGTATGCACCAAGTAAGGCGACCCGGCTGATGGCATCACGCGAAGACCGATGAGGCATCAGAATATTGTTAGTTGTGAATGTCAATGTTATACGAGGGCTGGGATATTGTCAGGGCGCCCACACCTAGACAGGAGGACGGTTAGGGTCCTTAACCAAAGCCTTTGGCTCAAAAACCTCACCGCAAGGCAGCGGTGTTGGGCTGGAAATGCAAGTACGCCACCATTTTTACGGAACACGTCGCCATACATGTTCCAACCTCCAACCTGGAGGGCCAGGAGACTGTGTTCGTCAGACCACTACCCATGAACCAACCTGGTATGGTAAACTCTGTGAGTGTCGTGTGGACATCCCTCAGTATACCCCAATATGTCGCCGAGTTACACAAACAGCCACACCACGGTAAGGTCCAGTCTCTTCGTGACGGCAGGCAGCCATCATCTGTCGATGATGATGATGGCTGCCTGCTTGCCTAAAGCCAGACAGGAGCAGTCGAGATGCTGAGGTTGGGTTCGAACCACTGGCCATTGTCTGTAAGCTGGTACCGTAGTCACTGAGCTATCTCTAGCATTTGTCGTTGTGTGGTTAATATTGGATGACCAATCAATATCGCACATTGTCGACCCGATCCTGAATGTCAGACTTCCCCTAGGATTGATACTCTTGCATTTTATCCCGACATTTAACTCCATAGAATATCTCCATGGTTCCGCGTTGCCACTACTCTATATTGCACATTCTGTCTTTGCATTCCATTTACTTTCTTTTCAATGTCTTTATGTGCATTCAATCTGTCTTTAGGCAGCACTTTCACCTGGCGTTCAGCTGCCTGGTTCGTCGCAGCAACAACTTTCGAACTCAGCTGCTGAACTCCTTTCGAAGTTTTCCTCACTTGCTACTGAGGGAGATGCCAGGGGAAATGGTGGTACTTTTGGAGCCACTACAAATGGTGACCTGGTTGCTCAACCAAACGGAGATCAAACTGATGTTTCCAGGGCGACTTCTGCACAGCACCGTGACGCATCTTCCAATGGACAGAATAAAGAGTGCGAGAGTGCAGATTCGAAGCTTCCGACTTCTGCATCGCAGAAGTGGGCGCCCTTGTTTGCGGTACGTTCACCATTTTCGGAGGTCAGCATTAACGTCCTTATTGTCATCATTCCTGTAAACGATTCCGGCGTTCTCTAATTAAACTGTAAAATTGTATGTATTATGGTATTGCTTCTACTTTCGATGGTTGTATATTCTGTTTTCCAAACGCTCGCATGAGAACCCACTTGAGCCGTACATCTCAAGTGAACACAGATTTCTCGTGATTTAGTCTTCGGGTTCATGGTGATCCTCATATAATGGCTCGCGTTATTTGCGGTATGTGATTTGTACTAAGCCGCAATGCCGAGGCACCTTTACTGGACTCGATTTCGGTATACAGTCGTCTTTACGCTGTTCACTCTACCACCCGGATCACCCTACAAGGAAACGCGTTTTGCTGGCCAAGCCAAACAACGACACCCAACTGCTACATTCAGGGTGTACATCGGTGTTACAACTAGGCATTGTTTGATGCCTGAGTTTGATTTTAGTTAAACATATATTAGATGCCACGAATTATTGCGTAGGGTCCCCTAGATGCCCGAGGAGTGAGATGTGGAAAACGGGCTCTTGTTGGTTTGAGGAGAATATCCGAAGCGTCATGTTTTGGCGGTATTGCATTTATCGATCGAAGGTGAAAATACATTCTGGACAAGAGATGCCTGTCGCCTAATTCGGTATGGAGGACGGACCCCAAGGGCTGCATTATGATACATGATGCTTAAATTAATTGAGGTATCATCTTGTTTTTGGGACATCGGAACAAAAGTAGAGTAAGTGTTAGGTGGCTGCCCCGTTGGCCAGGAAATTCTTGACAGAAAGTTTGGATGTGTGGACGAAGATCTCAAGGGTAAATAATGCTTCGCAATTATCCAAGCGGAAGAAGGAAGTTCGTTTTAGGCACCTCACCTTGAGTCCCCGACTCGAAAGTGCTATGTGCAAGACGGTGGAAAGATCGGAGGTTGTTTTGTGACACTCCTAATCTTGGATTGACGGTCTGACCTGCGTAGCATCGGGTGCTACGGTTTCTGAGAAACCCTGCTTGTAGCTAGTGGCTCAATGGGGTGGATTGGTGTGACCTGATCCGTTGTTCCTGATACTGCTGTACTTTAAGCCCCTTTAAGCTGCAAATAAATTTCATTTGTTTGCTGGAGGTGTTTACTAAATTGCTGGAAAACAGGACGGAAGGTCCGTATTTCGAACCCGACCTCTGCCACTCGATTTCCCCTGTCTAGGCTTGGGCAACCTGACAGTATTCCAGCCTTCATGCCTCCTTCGTGTGGCATGGCGCCGAAAGGGTGCTACGGTTGAACGACCTCTCTCTGGCGGCCGAAGCCAATTGATGAACTGTCAGAGTCTGCGGATTTAGGGTTAGCTTCTGCCCACTCGTCGTTTCTGTAAGTGTTGGTTTTCTGGATAAAACCTGTCTCCATGGGGACGAGATGGACCAAGTGGTAAGAGGGATAATTTGCTGACCGGAATGTCCGTGGTTCGGCTTGTTTCCATGGGGACCAGATGGACCAAGTGATAAGAGGGCTAATTTGCTGACCGGAATATCCGTGGTTCAGATCTGATCTCTACCTCTTGGCTTCCCCTGTCTAGGCTTCGGCAACCTGGTAGTATCCCAGCCCTCGTGTCTCCTTCGTGTGGCATGGCAGATAGGCACTGAAAGGGTTTTACAGCAGAACTCTTTGTCTCCATAGCCTTTCCGCGGTATAACCACTCCTAGACCGCATTTTAATGTGACCTCCCATAGTACGAAAGCTGGGTGCTCTCTAGAGAGCTGCCTAATTGTGGCGTTCTAAGCACTAGTCCCTGAAACCCCAGCTTTCGGTCAAGTGTGCTGTAGTCACCTTAGGGCTAAGACTTCTGGTTTTCTGGATAAAACTTTTGTCTCCATGGGGACGAGATGGACCAAGTGTAAGGTGTTACATCTGAACGATTTTTCCCCTTCCGGTGTCCACATCGCAGATTCTGAAGTGGGCTATTCCTGGTTTGTTGTGGGCCACCTTAAAAAGCGCAGTTCTTTATGTGTAGTCAAACTTTTCTTGGCCCGATCAGGCCGCATGTTTTTCTGGAGAAATCTTGCCTGGAACTACTGTGTTGTACCAATAGCAATCTCTCATATATATCCACTTTTTGGAGAGCATCCCCTATGTTGTTGCTGCTAGACTGACGTATCCCGCACAAACAAACGTTGGGTAGTTGAACGTTTACTTTACAAGGCCATATGAATTTCCGGAATGCATCAACCCAATTGATATTCTCCACCAATGATCGCATCTAACTGGCAGCGGTTCTGAGTCTGGTGGTCTTTAAACGGACTCATACAGGGTTTTGAACAACAACACCGACGTCTTCTGTTGTTGCATTAAAGAACTTTGTAGCAGAGAGAGATGTCGTAATCACGCAGTCATACTACTGCGTTCAACACTGAACTTCTTTGCGCCGTCTTTGACGGTACTTGGATTGAGGTTAAACGACCGTCGTATTCATATCATACTGTGTTAAATTCACGAATATGCCAGCTACTATTGGTGCAGCACTATCTACGTCAGTCTGGCTTGACTTGTGAGTAATATGGGTCACGAATCTATTCGGCGCATACACCGTGCACTCTGAGCTTTTAATTGTCCTCACTGTATTTGGCAGTTTGTCATTCAGAGGCAATGCACGCTCTTGGCTGTAGAAGTACTCTCACTTTTTTTAGTTTAAATGAGCCAAAGTGCGCTCAGTATGCTCCTGACGTGGCTTTGTGTGATCTCAGTTGGAATTCCGTCGAGTGGGTAAATCCATAATCGATCACTATCCTTCTATTGTTTTGCATCGCCGTGCAACATTAGTTTCCTTCTAATAACAGCTGACAAGCGGCATGATCCCTAGTTGATCTTAATTCGCCAGAAAAATAATCACTCCCGTCATCTAACCTGCTCGTTTTATACGCACTGACTTGAAACTAACTTCTAAAACATATAAATCTTCCCAGACAAGGCTTATTAGGTTTATTTGAATGGATAGCCTTAGCTAACTCTCCAGCAGACAGCATTCAGGGACAGGCGATGTGCGGATATCGAAGGTCAACAAGGTAATTGATACATCTGTCACAACGCTGGGTTTGGTTATGGTAATCCTTTGATGAAATCTCTGGATACTGGTGACGATTTACTTGTTACTTTACCACATCTTGCTACTGAAATTATTCACTACGTAATCATTCGTGCGTGGTAGTCACCCTTAAATAGGAGACACATTACGTGAACACGCCGTATGTCATGAATGCAACTGATACTCCACATAGTGAATGGCAGTTCGTCATCAGATAACTTAGCAAATACAGCACTTTAACGGACGACGCGCAAATAGTTCAGTTTGTCGGCTCTTCAGACACCAAGCTTTGATTAAATGTAAACCGTATCATAAGACTGCGCTCGACTTTCATCACCTCGCGTTAGCTCTTCGTATGTCCTCATTATGATCTTCCCCATGGTTGCAGGCTTTTGTTCTTTTAATGAAACACTAGCGATCGCTTTTCATCCTATCCTGAAGATATTCAGCAGGTTTTTCTAATCCAGTTCACTTCATTAAGATCAAAGTCAATCTATTTTATCTTCAGATGAGTTAGAATGTAATCGGTGCACCGTTATCAATTTTCCGCCAAACTACTTCCTTGTGAGCTTTGATCTTGTTCGAAGGACGAGCCACCGAATGCTGAGTGGCTATTAGACGTGCTTACTGTTTTGAAATCTGTGCAGCCATTAATCGTTTCATTATGCGCGCAATGCAATCCTGTCGGTAAAAATCAGAATGCTGGACAAAAACTGGGAGTCAGACTAAGCTGCAATGGATTATGCTTGATTCGCCTAAAACCCTCCCCACTCCCGTCGAGATTCCCCGGTCAAACCACTTATTTACTGAAGCGAAAAAATCAGGTACCTTTGGGCATGCGAATGAACTCCACCAGCTTCTAACACCTCGGATCGAAATACTGCCGGAGAGTTCGCTGACGGACATTGAGTACGTCGGCGATATTTCTCTTTTTGGATCTTTAGAAATGCAAACCATTAAATACAACCTAGGTAATTTTACCGGTATGCGCTTCACAACTGTACGGTGTAAAGTGCTGCTGTAAGGCTGGATGGGATCACACCCAAACCTAATGCTCGCAGGTGAACCGATCAATGTGGTTGACAGGTTCGTCTATATGGGTAGCTGCACAAGTCCCAATGAACTGGTCAAATACAAAATCACTTCCCAAATTGGTAAGATCAGGACAACGTTTTCCAGCCTCCAACATTTGGGGCGCCGCTTGACATCACCTTGACTGTCAGGGGTAAAGTACTCAATGCTGCCGTTCGATCAGTCCTACTTTACGGATCAGAGACGTAGTCGCTGCTTGTGGAAGACCTTTGAAGACTCCCTATATATGATCGTAAGTGCCCCCAAAACATAACGCGTGTCTGGTGGAAACATCAGATTAGTAGTGCTAGAGTACGTCGGATAGTTTTCGGGCAAGTTTATTCTCCCTCGATAGACCAGCTGTCCACACCACATGTTACGTCTGTTAAGACGTGTACCTCGTATTCCAGGGGACATTTTATCTCTTAAACTTCTCTTCGCCCAGTCTTGCGTCAGTCCATGACTTAGCAACTGGTTGCTTACCACGACAGTTGTGGTTGCGTCATGCAACCAATGGCGGTCTTGCACCAAAGCCGTCGCCTCCACTGCTTAGCTCTCAGTCCCTGTTACACCGCACAACCAGAACTATTCGACGTCAGTGAACTGAATCGGTCGTCGTCAGGGCTGTTATCCCCTTTTTCTCTTCGTCGATGAACGAAACTGTAGCAGCTGGAACTGCTGCATTTCGATGCACGGATCGTGAGCTAAGACACTGGACTGAACTGACGCGCCCTTTCTGGTTTCAAAAAAGAGGTTAGATCTGAATGTGCGAATAATCATGATATCATTCTGGTGGCATTTCTAGCTTGCCCACAGATGTCATCCTCTGCAGGGCCACTAGGACTCGTGAGTGGCTTAGCCATGAAAACCAGGATGGCTCCCGTACGGGTCGTGGGTGAGTTGACCACGATGTATTTGCCTTATGACAATTTCCCCAACAACATCATCCGTACCAACAGTTTTCTTCCTAGGCCTAAAGGCGGTCTTAGACTCAGTCGGTCGCGCTGCTTTCTGGCAGTTTCTCTCCTTCAGAGGTGCGACGAGCACCTGCATCACAACCCTCTATTCCTTATGGTCTATCACCCCTGGGTGTGTGAAAGTCTATAAAGGGTATTCTTCCGAATTCACCGAGGGCGGTGTCCATCAGGGCTGTTGTCACCTTTCCTGTGTAATTGAATTAATCGAGTAAACGACTACCCTTGGTGTGAAGCTTCTCGGAAGGGACCTTAAAAACTTGGATTATGCCAGCGATATTGTGGTACTTGGCTCAGATCCCATCCGGGTACAGACTACACCAAATAATATAGGTGATGTTGCTGTAGGACTCTGTATGCGCCTCGCACCTTCGAAGTCGAGTGGTGGTCGGGTGAACCACCAAGTTTTGTCATGACGTCAGTACCACAAGAAATGGTAGGCAGATTTACCTGTCTGAGTGGTTGTATCTCGCCGGATGACAAGATTGCCGATGAAACTAGTGCTAGAATCGTCAGGTCCCGTTCTGCTTTCCTTCTACTTTGGTGCCTCTGGGGCTGATGCGACACTAGCTTGTCTCTGAAAGACATGGCCTACGACGGGACATTGCGTCTAGTTTTACTTTATGGCTGTGAAGCCTGACCGTAGTGCGTTTAAGACAAGGTTAGATTATTCGTCTATGGCCACCGGTACCTCCGAAGCATTGCACCTGCATCGTGGAAGCATCCGATTAACAATGCTGAAGTGCGGAAAGTAGTTTGTGACGGCAATTCGACTGCTTGTACAATCGCCGAGTGAATTCGGCTGCACCAGCTACGTCAAACAAAACAATCGTTCAGCTCTAGCACCCTTTCGGTGCCTAGCTTTTACACGAAGGAAGCACGAGGGCTTAGATACTATCAGGTTGCCCAAGCCTAGACAGGAAGTCGAGAGGCAGAGGTCGGGTTCGAACCGCGGATCTTCCGGTCAGTAAATTCGCGCTCTAACCACATGAGCCAACTCGCCTCCTACGTCGGCCCGGCCATATGCTCCATACACCAGATTGTCGATTGCCGTGCCATTTGCTGAGTCAGAATCTGACGGAGAAACAAGATGGACAATGCATGGCCTGACGACGGAACCTGAAAACATTAAAAAATGACCTTGGCTGCTCCAGTGCATTTCTGCGGGGTTGCCGTATAAAAGAACCGTCACGTCAATGGTTTGGGGTGCTCACTGACACGGTGATGTCACGCAGTCAGTTGCGGTATTCTATGTGTTCTCATGTTCCTATTCCTCAAACCACCGCTCTTTTTGTTTTTAAAATACCCTCTATCTTACGCTATATGTTGTCGTAAGTTACAACAACCTGAACTATCTTACGTCATGGCTGTCAAACCGAACTGGACTAGCTGCATGCCACATTCACATCTGCTCACTGACCTTTTCACACCCAACTGACAGACCACTTATCTACCCCAACAGTGTCCAGTGGTTAGAATACGAGTTTATTGACCGGAAGGTCCGCGGTTCGAACCCGACCTCTGCCTCTCAACTTTTATCGTCTGGGTTTGGGCAACCTAGCAGTATCCCAGCCCTCGTGCTTCCTTCTGATGACATGCAGCTAGGCACCAAAAGGGTGTTAAAGCTGAACTTTTATCTCTATTTTGATGCCACAGTTGTGCATATCGTATTAGTTTGGAAGATTGGTTTATCATAACGACTTTTGTATGCTGATGAGACCTCTAATTGACATGTGTATCTTAACCTATCGGCACTTCTCAGCTGGTCCAAAGGACTGCCCTTCCTAAGGCAACCGACGTTTTAGCCGTCCAACTAATTCTTAGAATTCGTTATTTACATTTTTCTATTTCGTATTTTCTGACTTTTCGACCCTCCTAATCCGGGATTTTATTCGAATATGACGTACTTTAAGTGTAAGCATAACACATAAAAACTTGGCTATGTTATCCATCCAGATGAAGTGAGAAAATGATTGATTGGGGTCAGACTCCATGTTATTTTTGTGGCAGTTCTGGTAGGAGAATACGGTCGACGTCAAGCGCTCAACCATGATCCCGAAGGATATTTTATGGAAATCATTCGCTGTAGGATTTCGGAAACTAATCATGTCATACTCTGGAATATGTGAACCTCTCTCGTGACCTTAGTGAGATGGTTGCAATATAAGGAACACAGTCGCAGTGACTACGGCTCGTTTTCCGTTGTAGGCTGAATTCGATCACCTGTAAAACTCTTCCGGAACCTAGCTACCGTGTCATCCGAGGAATGAGGTACATTCAGGCTGCTCAAGCCTAGACAGGAGCAGTGGAGATGCAGGGGTTGTGTTTGAACCACGGACCAGTAACTTCGCGCCTTAGTAAGCAATTAAAGGATGAATTAATAGTCCTCACTACTCACTAACCTTGCGATGCAGTCGATGCACAATACCATACAGCGCTTTACATGCCTTCACTTATTATAATCCACCTTTTACTACGACCTACCTACTATTTTATTTACCACAAATAGGCCAAGCGAAGTAACTAATTGACTATTACTACATAAATGGAGTGAGTTATTTTGCTGATTCATTCTCACGGAAACCTCCTCCGGCCCATCGAGAATTCACAACGCTTTTCTATGGTTCGCGTCCATTTTATTTAGTGGCGCTCGTGCATCCAAGCTATTGCCTTCAATGCATAGCTTCATTCCCAACTCCCCACTTAGAAGTCCACTGACAGCCTTGTACTGGCGCAGCAATTTTTCAGTTCCTGCCTCCGATGTGCAACCACCTCTTCAAGTTATCGGTGAACGAAAGTATGGCAGCTGTAACCACTGTACGACATTGTACGCGGTTCTTGTAGCTGATGATGATGGTGATAATGATCTCAACGATAATTTTAGTTTTGGGCCAGTTGTTTTTCATAGTGTATATCTGATTAGCAGCCGCTTGTTTCACTACTAAATTAGACTTCCAGTGTAGATGAACTGGTTCAATAGTGTCGCGGAGCTTTTCTCTAGTTGGGAACACACTATGCATAACTATGTTAAAATGATGGATCCTCAAAAGTTGCACCCTTTTCTTGGTCTGTGGAGTGTGACATATGACAAATTCGGGTGAATTCTCTTCTCTGTCCATTCGGAATTTTCAGGAAACTATTAACCTCCTAGAGCTTGTGTTTTTATTTCCACCGGCCACAGTTTCTTCATTGCTGGTTGTTTTTGTTAAAGGGAATTCTAAGCCTAGTTGTTGCGCCTTATCCTAAGCGTACACAAAATTGGTCAGGAATCCCAGTGACCACAGACTGGTCAATGTTATTGCCAACTTGCGGATCCTACAGGTTCACACTGAAGCTAGCGTAACACCGTACTGGATATTGTCAGTGAGATACATCGTTATGTGGTCATGCAACCACTCTCCAGTTATTTTCCCGCCATTTAGGACGACAATGCAAGCTGAATTCACAGTGCTGCGTGTGCCGGACCACGTGTCCGATTGCCAGAATGAGACACGGATTATCGTTTCAGAGAGGCTTGGTGAGCAATCGGTGGATTTAGCAAACCTCTGAAACGATGATTACCCAGTGGGTCCAAACATCTTCCGATGGATTTGGACACTGGATACTTTAGGTGACGAATCAGCCCGTGCTTGGGAAATCGTATAACCAAAACCGGTGTCATGCACGGTGTCATCGTCAGCTTTAAGAACCGCATATTCGTCATATAGTGGCTATAGCTACCAGAGTTTTGTTCACCAATGGTGTGGGAAGTGGGGCAGGTAGCTGCACCTTGTGCTTACTCAACCAACCCAAGCCCAGCGCCTTGTTACCAGCACGTTGTGTTGGCGATCCGCCGCTGAGGTCGATTACGGACTGTTACTTAAGTTGCTTAACCGCGTTCCAAGGGGTTTACAAACTTCACTTGACAGCAGTTGCTTTTCCGTTGCTTTTTGTTAGTTCCTCCTGATGTTATCGCTAGAAGACCGTACCCAACTACCCCCTCCTATGCCGCAAAGGCATCCATGATCTTATGGTTAAAGGTCTTTGAAGTGTTCAGGTTGAAGGGACCAAGCTTCATAATCTCATGATAAGACGGCAGTTAAAGTCGATTTGTGTAAGTGGTTAATTTCGTTCCTGACGCCACCAGACAGAGGCTTTTGTTAGTGCGTGCGTTGAATTTCTTTATAGCAGCATGATCGTGACTAATGCAGCTAGAAAGACGTGCAAAACTATGAAATCATTCAAGCTCTTTACTGTGGAGGGATTATTGCCGAATACTGATAGTCGAATGACAGAACAGTTTCTTCTGCGTAGTCTAATTCCACTAATATTTTCCCAGGTATCATCTCAAATACTGAATTTTCGTCCCTTAGGAGTTCACATTCCATGGTTGTGTTGTGACAACTGAGCAAAATGGGAGCGATAGAGTGCAGCTCTGTACAGCCATCCAGTTTTTAGACAGATTTCGGACAGTTCCAACGTGATCAGAAATGTCGAAATAGGGAGCACAAAAACCCGTCTGTTATTAATCTGTCGTGTTTATGGTGCCGCTCAATGAATGACGTAATATGGTGGTGCTGTCTGTGTACCGTCTATTTGGTCAAATTCCTATCTGCTGCCTTCAGATCAGAGTCCCGCATGCTCAAGTTGTGTGTCGCAATAATGGGCAAGCTATTTTATATGTTGTGGCATTCGTAATGAAGTGGATACATTTTCGTGCATCGTTTTCTCGTAAATCGAAAGTTAGTTATCTTCTCCAGTTCTCTGGGGCACAGTCTTCTCCTCCAATAGGTTCAAACAGTCTTGTCAAGGCAGAAAACAATCTGGTTACGGTCTTTGAATAATACTGATGGAAACAGCTGGATGTGGTTTTATGGCAGAAGGACGTGCGAGTTCTCCATTAACTGACAATTGGTGTAAACTGACAAGCCACGACCGTAGTTGACCTGTCGCTGTTAAAGTTCCTCAGGCGATCTAGAAACTGGCTTTTATTATTGGTCGGTATTCGTCAACCTCATGTTATTGATACTGCAACGTGATTCCGATATTATCTTTGATTAACTCGCTATCTCTTGGTCCCGGTCTTGTGACCAAGGGGTCCTCTGGTTTAACGGCATAGCGTACCGGTGATGCTTTTGACGTCAGCCATTTAATATGATGGTCGAATTGCATTCTCGTCATGCAATTTCCCATAAGGGAGTGACAAACAAGTTCCAGTTTCTCGTTTTGCTTTTAGGAGAGAAAAACCGCCAAAATTCTTCCATTGACGAGGATAGTTTCTTTCCTCTTTAGATGAGAGTGAGTGAAGTGAAGGCTGACACTACCACGTGATCATTCTTGACCCATCGTTTCGTACCAAGTACAGGATATTTTGGTTCTTATCAATGTTGTTTTTGTGCGTTTCAGTGTCATCACAACTCACGCAGTACGTCTTTTTCTTTTCCACTACAGATTCAAGTAACAAAGTTGACCGACCTCATAGAAGACTCAAAACGCTTCGAAAGCATGGTGGACCGGTTGTTGGAAATAACAAGACGTGCAGTATGTTGACGCCCCACTGTCGACTATTTGCTGTTTATCTGTTTATTTTATCCCCATTTATCTTGGCTTCTATTTTCTTGCAGCGTCTGACTGAGGCCTCCCAATTTCTCAGCGACATTGTTGTCCGGTTCAATGAACTTCAAAAAAGTTTCTCTTCGTTGCGGGACAGATATGAGGTAAGTGCCAGGTTTTATTTCTCCGAGTAACAGACAAAACAGACTCAGCTATTGGATACCACCTTCACCCTCACTCAGTTAGCGAATGATTGTAGTCCGTGAGTCGGTTTTTGTTACTGTGTCATCATCCACTGTAAGCCGTGTGCGTATTGTGCAGTGATGGCAGTCGCCACATTTTCGTTCCCCGATAATGTGGGGAGATAAGGGTGGATAGCTACGAATCGGAGGCAACAACCGGTATCATTGACGCGTAAATTCATGAGTGACAGTTGACTTCTCATTGGGAGATCGCTAAGAAAAGGTGTGAGCTTAAGACAACAGCTGGGACGCATGCACATCGTTGAGTGCGCGAGTGTGTCCACCAATGTCTCCAGTCACTGGTGTGTCCAATCTCCATTCACGGAGATGGTATTGACCTCAGCGCAACCGTGTCTGTTGGTAATGACTCCCATACTTCGCTGCCAGATCATTGTGCAAAGAGCCCTCCGATGAAGTCGACCAACTGATGTATGACCAAAACATCGTATAATTGACTCATCTATCGTAGGTAAGTTATGCCCACCGAAAACTATTCGAATCGGCTCAGCATTACTAATTCAATGTCTCCACCAGACTTGGGCGATGCCTCGGAGATACTGGTGGTCAAACACTGAAAGTATTTTAACGTCTCAGCTGATTAATGGGACTATCGAGTACACACCAGCATTGTCACAACTTGACTCTTACTGTCACGTCTACGCCACAGATGAGTTAGGTTTAAAACAGCAGCTCTTGCCTTACCGATCCGGTGATAATACTATCTTCAGTTGGACCACTGGGACTGATATAGCGGCCCGGATAGACGGACTTATCTGTTATCTCAGTGAGCTCCCCCACAAGCAATAGGGTCGGGTTTGACCCTAGCCAGTCTTGAAACAGAGCGTTACACTTTACAGGGATGAGGTGCATAACAAATTGTGAGACAGAATTATCTAGATAATTTAATGTTTGCCTTTCTGTGGGATCAAATCCACGGTGAGCCACATCGTCTGCATACACGGTATGTATGGGCGAACATTCTGGAAGTATTCGGACAGCTGTTCTAACGGTAATGCCTCAGCTTAGTTCTCGGTCTGTACCTTACAAGCTGGCGTCTTCGTCAAAGAAAGTACAAAAGATGCACGACGTGTATTAAACGCCCAAAACTGGGCCAAACCGTATGTACAATGCGTCGTATATAAAATGTATGAAAATTCGGATACCTCAATGCGCCAGTGGCAACCGGCATCCGGCGGATACTGGATTACGATTGGCTTTTGGGTCCACACTTTCGGCCAGTCAGAGCTTGCTTTGATGTTGGACCGGCAGGTGGCCCGATCTTCTTCTGGCCGAATGCATGCGGGGTGGGCTTCTTGGCCGTAGCAGCACCTAACTACAAGCGGTATCGGTGCGAAGTTCCGCCTAACAGCACCACCGACATTAGAGCGGGCTGTGAGGAGGATTGATGAGCGGAAAAACAATCCGCAAATGCTGAAGGATGCCGCAGAAAACGTTAGGGTTATCGTGGGATCCGCGCATCGATGCTACAACACATGGAGGTAACTGTGTTGAGTACACTAGACTTAAACCAACAGGTTTCGAACTCACTTTTGATTATTTTCTGCTCGTTCCAGGGAAATATTGGGATAGTTCTACAGGAAATAAAGTTGACAGTACAAGAATTCAAGCTCCGCGGCCGCCTATCACCTCAGTTTTGTTCCGCACTCGTATCTGTGCCTGCATATCCTGGCGGCATCGAAATTTCTATGCCTCCTACCTGACGGACCAAACGAACGCCAAAGTTCGATAGGACATGACCTATATTTTGGTCACAGACACTGCCAGTGTTTCAACTTGCACACTTGGTGCCGATGGCTTCGTCCTCAGTCTGACACGACCTGCCAGCCAGCAGTTTGACCATATTTTATTCCATCCCATTGTATGCATTCTTTTTGGTGTTACTTCCAACGTAACAGCTGATTTGCTATACTAATGAGAATTTTAACAGGCGAACTG